TTAGCACGCCATAGAGAAATTATTAAAAAAAGGTATATTCAGTGAATTCGGATGATAAAAAAAAGGACATTAAGAAGCTGTTAATTTTTTTTTAATAATAATAATAATAAAAAAAGTCAAGTAGCGGAACCTATTTCATTCCAACAACCATCAGTAATGGAGTTAACCTAATTAATTTTTTGACTAATTTGCATTAGCTGACCTTTTTAGTTTTAAAATTTATCAATTAACTATTAATTAAAAAATTTAGATTAATTTAAATTTTCATTTGTTGTCATCTCCATAGGACCAATCTACCTTATTTCAATGGCCTCGATGACTTCCTTATGTTGCTAAATTATCAATGACTTCCTTATTAAAGGCATTTTAGATTTTTGTTTTTTGTTTTTTATGGGACTTACTCAAATTTCATTAAAAGAAAAAGGAAATTACAAAAGGCTCAAAAGAGGCCAAAACTAAAATTTTAAAGCTTTATACGCGAAATTAAACTATAGATTGCAAAGCAACCTTAAAAGAAAAAATAATTCAAAATTAACTCATTGTAGGCAACAAAAATAGCCAAAAATCAATCAAGAAGGCCATGAAACCTGCTGGACTCAAAAAATGACAGGAGGCTTCCTACAAATCCAATAGAAAAATTCGCCGCCCAGTTGCCAGGCTAGGACGATCCAATGAAGGTAGCAGCCCAAAAGACATACAGAGAAAACTACAAGGTAATCAAACAGCGAGAAGTCCCAAATCACCAACATGTGGAGGTTCTGACCCCAGACATGATTTTAAATTGGTTCGTGACCGACCGATTGTCTATGTCGGTTCTCGTGGGAAGGGCAGACAGGGTCGGTAGTTCTATGCGTTTGCCCCTTGTTTTTGTCTCTCTGGTTGGTTTTTTTTTTCTCACTGATTCGTTCAAGTTTTTTGTTGGTCGTGGATGTGCTGGGCTATGATGTGGCTGTGGCTCGTTTCTTCGTTGTCATGACTCATGACAACCTTTGGTGTTGATCTCTTGTTCGGTTGCCCTTGGCTGGTCGGTTGGATTGTTTTCTTCGCGGCTATCTTCACCAAATTGGAGGGTCTGTGCGTGGCTTCGGAGAAGTTGGGAGCCTCGGCCAATTACTGAGCCTTCTGATTGTGTTCTTTTTGTATTTTATTCTAACTTTTTTCTTTAGCTTCATGGCCTCTTGTAATTCTTTTTTGGTTTAATATATTTCTAGTTTTATAAAAAAAATAATAATAATAATTTGAACTAAGGGGTTGCAGTCAATTCTGACAAAGCAAAAGCATTAGCATTTTAGAAATTTGTTATTTAATTGCATTAATTAGGTATTCTTTTTATTTTTCTCTTCATAAAGAGAGTGTGTAATCTTATTTATATCTTAGAAAAAATGGTTGCAATAGGACCTATACATTAATTAGATAAACCTATATTAAATTAATGTTTCTTTTACGTGTTGATATTCTTCTCTGTGTGTTTGTTCGTTATGTTATATTTACATATAATTCACATATTTCCCAACATCCAATACCGAAATAGATCAATCCAATCATCTTTAATAACGTCCTCTCTCAATCTCTCTCTCTCTCTCTTCAGCACGCAACATTTATATGCTTAGAAATAACTAAATACAATAATTAGGTGCTATAAAATAATAATTAGATTGATAAAATTCATAAGATATTTGATAATAACTAGATTTAAATAAAATAATAATAATAATAATTAAATATGAGGTTGGAAAGACAAAAAAAGGTAGGGTTGAAAAATAAATGAAAAAAAAAATTAAAATGTCCCTAATATACGGTCAACTTAATCTCAAAGTATCATATTGCTCTACAGCTCTAGTTTAGGAGAAATTATTCTGTGCGGACACTAGACCATCCGAAGGCGAATCAGAATGTGTTATGTCACCCGGTACAGAGCAGCACATAGCCGCAGTACACATCAAATGGGTGACGTGTTGTGTTCTGATTCGTCTCCGGACTGCGTCCGTATCCGCACAGAATAATTTCACCTAATTTAGACGCTCCACCGGTAGCAAAGTGCTCTTATCAAAATTAATTAACTAATTAAGAATGCAAGTTCACCTTAATAGATCCAAATGCATGAATCTTTCAGAGCTCCATCTAATCAAATTTATTACGGAAAAAGACTTTCTTTTACACTCCAAAACGTTTTTCTTGATGACATTTGACTAAACACCCCATCTAACAACATTATTAACTTGTCTAACAAAAGCACATGAAACATATCAACAAACATATTAGAATCAAATTCAACCTTTCAGTAAAAAGTGAAATGTATGTTTTGAATGACAAAATTAAGAACTATTTCAACCATTTCTTGTTCGGAACAACTTTCTTATTGCTTCTTAAAGCAATTTTTTAATTTGAGAAGCAGTAAGAAAGTCATCCCAATCGAAGCCTGTGATGTTAGCAGTATAGAAAGCTAAAAAATGGAGAACTCAACATAAAAATCAGCTTTTCATGACTTTGGCATATCAACCACAGAACATTGAGCTGTATGTTCAGTATGACAACAGCAAGAAATATTGTTACTTTGTATAGAAAGCTAAAATATTGAAAGTTCAATACAACATTCAGCTCTAGCAGGAGAACACCCACAAGATTAAAAAACAAATTATCAAAAGCCAATCCATGCTCTATCATTTTACTTTGTAATCATAGCCTGGCCAATCTTTTAAACTAATAAGAACAAAAGAGCAATCATTTTATGCTGACCATCTCTCCCTTTCCATCCTTACAACAGTAACAGGAGGGCCACCTTCTCATGCTAAGGAGAAGCTGGTGGTGGTCCTTGTTGTGCCAAATTCTCCGTTTCGTCATCCAAAACCATCTCCCTGTTTCCACAGTCATAGCTACAAAATACCTTTTCTCCCCTGAGAGCTCAAATTATCAAAAAAGAAACAATAAAACAAAAACCAGTTTAGTGAATCTAAATCTGCCTTAATGAGTCGCTTGCATGAGTTGCATAAGTTCAATGGAAAGTTGGTAAAATGATTTAGGCCGTCTCCAACCGAACTCCAAACGACGGTAAGGCGTAGCTGGTTTGCTCCATTCGAACGGAAAAAAAATCGCTAATCTGTGTCAATATTGGAGTGCATTGGTGTCACACTGTTCACCTATGCGATTTTACTATCTCAACCGGATTCGCCGAAGAAACCCACGAAAGAGGAGAAGACAGTTACCTTCGCAGAAGCGCGCAAAATAGAGTTCGATTGGAGATGAATCATGGCTTTTTTTAGTTTCACTGCATTTTGGAGTAAAAAATGGGATGTTCGGTTGGAGATGTCCTTAGAAGTTAACTAAACATACAAAGTCGATAGCATTCAGTTGTCCTAACATACTCTCAATTATTGCATTATCGCCAATAATAGATAGGAGGTAAAGCAAACCTTGTTCAAAACCATGCCCTCTATCTATCTCATTAGCTTTCACATGGCCTAATAAATGTAAGGCTAATTTATTATGACTTGTATCTTTATTTCAGAACATGACTAAAAGAACATTATGACATTCCTCTTTTCAAGGCTGTGGATTTCCAAGGAATTGCATGGGAAGAAAACTAATTAGACAGTAGTTGAGAATTTGAGATCAAATGTATTTAAATTTGCAAGACTAAAAGAACATCAGATTGGCAAACCTGTACATGAAGATATCCTTTCCTTGCACAATTTTCTTCCTGCAAGATTGGTAGAAAGACAAGGAATTGACAGAAGGAAATTTGCTCGAGCCATCGATGGAGAATTTGATCTCCCTCCTTGAAGGACTCAACACATTGTTGCAGTTCTCTAAGGTACAAGTATCAAAAATGTGAATTGTCCTCGGATTCGGTCCATGAGAAATCACACGAGTATAATCTTCAGATAGTTCCATCTCACTAGGAGAGAGACAAAAAGCTGATTGTGGAGGCTTTGAGGTAGGAGTTGTGGCAGTCAAACATCTTCTTTCAGGAGAGAGAAGAGCCATAGCTAACTTTGAGTTCTTGTTTTTGACACCAAACTCAATCAAGGAGTGAGGAGAAACCACTGAGCAAGTTGGGAAAGCAGAATTGATCTGGCTTGTAGAAGGGATCTGAACCTTGAGCTGTGATCCAAACAACACCATTCTACTCTCAACCTTCGAAGATTTTTTGTCTGCTTTCTCATTGCTAAGAGCATCAACAATGCCAAGCCCAACTTTGTTAGAGTTTATAACATCCCAAGGGTGGACTTTGCTCTCCGAGGAATTGTTTGAACAAGCTTTTGGTTTCCTATCAGAGAAGATGTGATTTCCTGCTGCAGAGAAGGGCTTTGTTTCTAAAGTGGAGGACGTGATCATTACAGAAGCCTCATTGCCTAAGAATCCAGGAGATGGATTCAAAGAAGAAACTGTGGGTCTGCTTCTGAATTTTATAGTGGGAGAAGGAAGTGAAATGCGATCAGACATCAGACCTTGTTTACTGCAAGCTGTACTTGATCTCTTCTTCAGCATAGCAACTACTCTTATTCAAATGGTAAGAGTGAACTATAAGCTGATATACTGATAAAGATAAAAGGGAAGGGAAGGTGATGCAGAGAGCCTCGCTCCCCTTTTCCACTGGAGTCTTCTTTCTAAGAGACAAATCACCGAACAGTTTAAGCTATAAAGAAATGGAGGAATAGAGCAACTTCGAGCTCACTTGGGGCTCACCAGGACTAGTGCAAGGATTCTTTTCTGTAAGGTCATTATCCTCAAGCAAACAGTAAGATAATGATGAACAGACATATAACCCCAATTCGTTTCCTTTAACTTTCATGCAATCCCCACATGTTTCTCCACTTTCAACAACAGAGAAAACCGAGATGAAAATTCTTGACCTTTCTTACTTTCATCTCGATTCTTTAAGCAGTGAATTTTGCGGAAGAAAAAAAAAAAGAGATTTTTATCCAAACAAAAAAATTGAAAAGAACTAAGGCTCCAAAACTCAGCTTACCCCTAACAAATTCAATGCTCACTCCAAAAATAACAGGCAATATCCGATTTCTTTTTCTCAGCCCCCTGTTCTATCCATTATACATGCAGGCAATCCCAATCAAGCAAGGTAATTCGGCAACTGCCGCCCTCGTTCCCCATATAAAACCTTAAAAGGAAATAAAAACCAACTACGAAGAAAGCCCAGAAGCTAAAAGAAGCAGAGAAGCAATAAAGATTGGTCATTTTTTGGGGGAAAAGATCGGTCTTTTACTGCTCCCATGCACAGGGAGTCAGGGAGAACAGCTCAGTCCTATTCGATTGCAATGCCCCTCTCTTTCTCTTCTGCAGAGTTGCAGCGCCAGAGGATTAGCGATCCTACCGACACCATGGATGGCTTTTTTAAATTAAAAAAATAAACTATAAATGTAGGAAGGATTCGATTTCAGATAATGAAAACAACTTTCAGCAACTAAACTAGATGGAACCATGAGGGGTTATTTAAGGTACAATTGAGTGGCTTGCTCTGCAGTTTTCAGGAGGCTGGAGATTGAGGAAGAAGCACGTTTTGCAAAAATATCCAAGCACACTTCATTTATTGCACCGTTGGGTTGTGCTTCATAAATAAATAACATTGTCAGCGTTTATCTATAATTATACAGGGTTTTCAGTTTTCTGCGTCACTGCTCCGTTCACTTCCACAACCGTCCTGCTGCGGCGGTTTCAGCGCGGCAGAGCCGTGGTGGTATCCCGTCACCCCTTAGTGCTGTTTTGGACTGTCAGTCATCATCTCCATAGTTACGCTCACCGGGAGGGGAGAATTATTGGGTTGGACATAGGACGATGACATATGTAGTCCAATGAAAATACACCACATCACCTTATTTTCGGTATTAAGCTTAATATGAGCTCGATACTGTGACTGCTTGGTGAACTCGATACTGTGAAGTACCGAACTTAGTACTTCACAGTACTGAGCTCATACTGAGCTCAGTACTATGAAGTTTGGAATTTTGGCGATGTCCGAACCCAATAATCTCTCTCGTGAAAGAGTAATTATTACGTTCGATGACCGAGCCGTCCTGACACCAATCCAGACGCGTCATGTCACCCGGATACATTGGGCCCCGGGTGTATCTGGGTGAGGTGACGCACCTGAATTGATGTCCGAACGAATCCGGACACCGGACGTTTAAATTTTTAACTTTTGCGAAAGTTGACCTTACATTTGTACCCTTCTGCGATGGGCGGTGGATTTCCGATGCAGGCTGTTAAATTGACGGAGATGATGACTCCTCTGGCTACCGAATTTTCGTTGTTCCTCCATATTGTTTTGCACGGGGCGGCTCGGTTCGGTGGAGCTGGCGTTACAGTCTAGCTGAACCGTATGCCGGTCTAATCGAATTAACGGCGCATACAATAGTTTGCCTGACCGTAGCTTTTTGGTTTTTTTAAAAGAATTGTTTTTTTTATCGAATTTTCATACATAACATTCATAATTAGCTTATTTGAATATTTACTATTTAGTCACATAAAATTAAATAAAAAAAATATAAATAGCATTAAAAATAACACCCGCATAACTCTGTCTCTTATAATTTATCATCAAACTCTTTACATGTCACATACTATCAGTTCTATCATTTTTCACCAAATAAACACTCTTCTTTCAGAGACTTCTCCTTCAAATGGTGTCAACTCTATGGATCTTCTTTTCCATCATGATTTCATTACAACTTTATCTTCTATTTCTTCCTTCACATGCTAATGGCCCTATGATTCTCCTTACCTATCAAGATTTCATCACAATATTATTTGCCCAAACCTCAAGCAGTGATATGTTGTACGCTTTGACGTGATCCTATATAAGCACGTTTAACTTAAGAGTTAAAAAAAAACCATTAGACTGAGAGGTGCATCAATATTTAAGAGTTTATTTGATGCGGATCATTTTTAGCTTAAATTGTCCCCTGGGTTATTTTATTTAGTTGTTTCAAGTTTTCTAGAATCTTCTTGGTTTTTTCTACTTGAGTAGTACATATGGGGGATGTGTAGGAGGAAGAGGATGATATGATGAATATTATCTCTTTTTGAAGCTTTTGAGCTTTGTGTTTATTTCTAGATTGAGAATCCCTTCAAGCAGGTCTGATTCTTCCGACGATCCACTGCATGATTATCTTTATTTTCTCAAGAGATTTCACAATCACCTCGTTAACCATCAAGATATTATCATTTTTTGTCTAATGGCCTTATGATTTTGTTCCCTTAGTGTAACATCCTAGAAATACTTCCATACAAGCACATTTAACTTTAAGGTTTCTAATAAGTCGAACTATTACACAATAAGACACATTATTATTTAATAGTTTACCTTAATTTTTTTTTAGGGGTTTCACAATAACTTCCCTATTCTTCTTCATCTTGCTAGATTTGTTTTGACCTAACATAAATTTTTTTCTTCATCATCAAGGATATAGTTAATCAAATACTAATTGTTCTATTATATAAATAGTAAATTTAGACCTTAAATGTATAAATGATCATATAGTTTGGAGTATCATATATGTATATCTACTTCTTTTAAAATATGAGTAATAATTAAAAAAATTATAGACTTGAATTATTTATGATATTGATGAAATAATTTCCTCCAAAATCTCGAATCCTTCCAACCATTATTATAGTAGGTCACTCTTTGTTTATTTTTCTATGTAGTTTGGCTTAAAAATAGAGGTAGGATAAACTTAGTTAATGAAGAAAAATGTGTCATATATCATGATATAAATTCTATGATGATAACTTTTATATGATTAGTTAATTTTTATATGATGATAATTTATGAATATACATTAATTCTATTAAATTGGGGTCCAAAAAAAATTGATCAGAAATTTCCTTGTTAGGAATGATTCATCTCACTACTAAGAGCTTCATTTGGATTCAATCCCATCGCTTAGATTTTGAATTGATGGCTCTGATTTAGATTATTTTTTAAAAAAGGTTACCATTTATATGTTTATTCATTCCATGTGATTTATTTCAAAATTAATTAAATTTAAAACCAAAAATAAATTTTATTTCTAAAAATTTGAATTAAGTTGATTGTATTCAATTTTCTTGTCTTGTTAAATTAGTTATATAAATTTTAATTTTAATTTTTCATAAATAACTCATAAAAAGTTAAAACAATATATGAATTTTTTTTACTGAATTATAACCAATTAAGTTTAAATTTTAACAACCAATAATGTAGTACTTAACATTATAATAAAAAGTACATTAATTCAATTATATAAAATTTATGAACTCAATTCAACACACACAAACAATACTAATACTTCACTTATCTTAGATATATATAAAAAGATAATATGTTATAAAAAAAATTAATTTAATGAATGTAAAAAACTAAAAATAATACATTTTAAGAAAATAAATGCAATGTTATATACCACAATAACTATATGGGCCTACCATTATATATGATGCTTAAATAGATAACCTTTTCTAGAAGAGGGTTAATGGTTAATAATGTAAAAGATAAAGAGCTTATTTAGTGAGATTATATTGACTAATGAGATATTGATCTTAAGCAAGTGGGGATTAAACCTAATATTTTGTCCTTTTTTGCACTAAGTGACTCCAAAAGTCAACATGATAATTAGTTTTGTATTTCACATAGTGATTGATGAAAGAGTTAAGATGACAACATCTGTGATGACTTGAAAGATGAATAATTGTATTAAGAAAATAATTTAATTATTAATTTCATGCACATAATGATAAATATTAGATAAGTTGAAGCTGAGACTTGGTGCTCTCATATTGGATGATCCATCTTTTCATTATTAGACCATCTGATGGATTGGTATGATCTTCAATGTTGAGTGCTAGAGATTTCTTTTGTAATTCTATTAATTATATATATGAGTTTTTGTCTAAGTCTTCTTTTATTTATTTTACGAGCATTGTGCTAAAGTAATGTCAAATAATGGCATTTCTAGCTTCTTCTATCCCTTATTTATATTAATACCATCATATTTTCACTATTAAAAAAAAAACATGTTTGATGAGGCTAATAATGAAAAGAAAAAAAAAATTAAGAAGAAGATCAAGACTTTTTCAATGATAAGGTCTTCCAATTAAGCTTCTTTTACAAGCTCAACTTATATAGGACTATCCTGAGGTGTTGGTTGAGCTTCCTCTACTACCCCTAGAGAATGCTTGCTCTTTCAAATTATAATGGTTTTTTCAGATTGAGCCATGCTTGATGTTTTTGGGATTGCAATAGTTAATTAAGTAATGTTTGGCAATGAAATTGAAGGACAAATGGGAGTAACTTTTTGCAACATTTATCTTATTGTAGCTATTATATTAATTTAATGAATATAAAGATATTATACTTCAAGAAAATAAATATGAAGTTCACCCACCGCTGCTTGTTCGGGTGGTGAAGAGCCGGCTGGGCAAAGCCTAAGTCATTGGTTCGAATCCCTTGGCAAGCAGTGAAAGCCTTAAGTGTTGGCCCGTATAAATTGGTGTGAGTTGCATGCTAGGTCGACTGGAATTTTTACTGGCCTATGGACAGTATTTCCTCGTCACAAAAAATAATAAAAATAATAATAATGTTGCCTTTCATAGTAACAACATGGGCCTACCATTATACATGATGCTCAAATAGATATTTTTTCTAGAAGAGGGTTAATCTTGCAAAAGATAAAGAGCTTATTTAGTGATGTTATAATAATTTCTCCTTCTTCGTAGGTTAAGTTACTCTAAAGGCCAATATGGCAATTAATCTTGGATTTCATATAATGATAGATGAAAGAGCTAAGCTGAAAGCATCTATGTTGAATTGCAAGGCAAATAATTATATCAGGAAAATAATTTAAATATTCAACTTATACAAATAATAATAAATATTTGATCATTAGATGTTAAGGTTAAGTGTCTATCTTCATTAAATTTTTAGAGATGCCTCCAGATATTTCCTTTTGATTCTTACTAAACATTTTTGCTCTTGTGCTTAATGTCTTGCACTTATTATCTAATCAAATACTTATTATGAGAATACTCTAAAAAGAGATAAAAAAAATTATAGATTTATTATGCTAATAATGAAATAAATAATAATAAAAAATTTAGCAACTGATCATTTAAGATTAATGAAATACTATTTATTTTTATAAAAGAAGTCACCTAACACTATTTTTAGTTTTTTTAAATAGAAAGTAAGCTCTTGACTAAGTTTTATTATTACATATTAGACTTTTTTTTTTTTTTTGACATTAAGAACTCTAATTATTAGAGTACGCCCCTAATTATTTTTCTTTGTTTTAACTTGATCATTCACTATGATAAATCCTAGAGCTAATACACATTCTACGATATTTGTAAATAGATTAATTATGCTCTTAAGAGCTTGAGAAGTAGATTTATAGTTTAAAGATAAATACTTAAAAAAATTGTTTTCCAAAAATTACAAATTTATCATGCTATGAAAATATCATTATCAAGAAAATGTTTATAATTTTGTTCATTTAAAAACCAAGGGCAATTTAAATTATTTAATAATAATAATAATAATAAAGCTAAAAGAAGAATTAATGTAACCATTTATGTCTCCTAATTAAGGCTTTGTTTAAATTAATAAAAAAAGAAGTATTATCTGATTAATCTCAATAATTTATTGATTGATTATGCATCCATTTTTATTAGTTTGAGTTTTTTTTATGTGATGTTTTGGTTGGAAGTAAAGTTGGTTTCAAATGCATGGATTTTGAAAAAAAATGTTTTGGGTTGGATGAAAAAGAAGTGTAAAATAAAGTAAAATAAATGTAGTGCAAATCATTTTAACTCATTTTTTAATTAAACTAAACTCACTCAATTTTGAACGATAATCGATTACACTGCATGCAAGCTAGCTTGAACACCGCCACCATTCGCTAACCACCATTGCCGCCACTTGCCATAGGCCACCCATCGTTTAACAGCCTAAACTGTGGAGTTTCTTAAATGAAATTCCTACTATTATACTAAAAGGCATATCGATATTTAAGAGTTTGACTTTTTTTTTTTTACTTAAGGGATTTTCACACACTGCCTGTTGTTGTCGACCACCACAATCACCATCCTCTGCCACCCATTGTCGGCCGTCGGCCACCGCTACCTCTGTCGAACATCACCACCATCAACAGCTGCCTTTGCTATCGGCCACCGTCGCCACCACAATCTTTAGACTTTACACAATATTCATTTTACTTCAAATTAAAAAAAAAAGTCACAAGCATTTACTTTACACTTATCCAAACAATTCCAAAGTATTACTTTTATACCACATTCTTTTAATAATGCTTTTCTTTTTTAGTCAACCAAATAGCCACTTTATAGTTGATACATCATCTGTCTCTTATGAACGCTACACCCTCTCACTTATCTGATTGTGTGCTGGATCTTCGTACAACGCTAAGACGTTAAACTATATATTTCTCTACCGCCGCGAATATTCCAGGACGCAACAATAGTATTCTTAAACCTATAAGCTCTCATTTTTCATATGAAGGAGAAAGAAGAGAGAAAATTAGATAGAGCTCTCATATATTCTCTAGCCATCACCATTGAGGAACACCTCCATCTATTGCTCTGCAAACAAGCACCATCGTCATCTACGACCAACATAAAAATAATCACCATCTCTAAAATACTAACAAGATTTACTATTGAGTATATTTGTCCGTCTGTGAATATCTGCTTTCTATAATCTCTATTAGGAAAATCAAGTCATGTTGTTGTGTGTTAATTACTCATTTATGGACATTTGATTTATGTAATCTCCCTAAGAGAACATTAAGGGTTTGTTTAAACCTCCTCTTCTTCAACATTGAAAAAAAGAAGATTATTGTATCACTTGCGACATTGTGGATTTTTCAATTGGGTCAGACACTTTTGTTTTTTTCTTTTTTAAGGTTTTTTATATAAATTTCTTTGGTCTTATTACTTTTACATGTACGTGTTGAATTTTTGTACAATATTAAGACATAAAATATACACTCTAATTACTCATAAAATATAATCTAAATTATATTTTTTAATATCAAAATAAATTTAAAGAATTTAAATTCATCCTCAAAATTAATCAAAATTTCTAAATTATTTTCATATTTATTTGTTGGGAGGTTAAAATGTAAGGTGGTGGACCGGTGGTTGATAGGAGGTTAGACTACCATTCTTTATTTTCTAATTCTGAACAAATTTTCAAACATGTAAAATCTAGTTGTATATATAATGATATTTTATTAATTATGTTACTTAACAACTAATATAATTTTAAACCCTGCTTAAAATTTTACCACGTGGCAGTTGTCAGCAAAGATAATGGTTATTGAGTTATCCGGGCTTTAAATCACGGAGAAATGCCCCTCGTTTGGATAAAAATTCGTTTATGGCATCCCTATTATCAACCGATTCACTTGTTACCAGTGTGCCTCGCTCACCTGCTTCCTTTCTCTCCCGATTGCCTATACGTCGACTTCCCGACGGCCGTCGCCGGTCCTTGGCCGGGATACCAAGGCGTATCTCCGCTCGAGATCGTCGGAGACGAAAAGGGAGATCGGACGGCGGAGAGGTGATGGTGTCTTCAAGCGGCGCCTCTCCTCCGCCAATATGGCGGAGCGAGAAAGGCGGTACCGTCTCTGTCGTTGGATACGACGAGGAGGAAGCGTTGCGTACGACTGATCGGAATTTGGGTGGTGTTGAAACGTCCAACAGTGGTTATAGGAGCGGTAAGTTCAAGCCGACATTTTTGTTTTGTACCGTGCTCGTAAATTTTTTTTTAGGAGTTTGTTTGGTTCGGCCTTTGATTGCTTGAAAGGAGGAGTACGGATGATAGAAGGTTTAGTTGGTACTTGGAACTTTGTGGTTATTCTGCCAGATTCTGTCTGATATATAGGGTTTGATCTTGGTTTAACCTGAATTTCAGCTTATGATAAAGTAATTCGGGATTTAAAGTGAATTTATTTATAGATATACGGAATAATTACTATTGTTTAGTTGATTATAGGTTCTTAGAGTTGAGAACCAAACACAGAAGAATGAACGAAAATTCGCAAGAAGATTACGAAATGCAGAGGAATAGGGTTTGGAGATTAGTCTTCTGACTTGCACGGTAGCGCATATTTCGCTATATTTTTTTAAGATTATGATTGAAGGAGATGACACCTTTAAATATAAGGTCGAGGTGATCAGGAAAAATAATAAAATTGCCTTCAAAATAATTCGCAGAATATACCCTTAATAGATTTTTCGAAAATTGAAAAGGAAAGAGACTCACTCCATCAATCTTCAGCACATTGTTTGAGTTGCTGGTGAATTTTCCTTTATGTTTTTATCTTTTTAAACATGCCAAGAGGTATCCTCAGTGTAATTTGCTTTCCATGATTTCTATGTACAACCACATATCATAGCTTCTAAATTGGTTAGTGTTCTAAAATGTTGATCAAATTGAACTTGTGACAACTTTCAAAAAAAAAAGAAAAACTTGTGACATATGATGCTATTACACTTTTGAAATTGATGATTCAAAAAAATTGTCCTTGCCTAAGTTTTTGGTGGAGGTTGCCTCACAAACCTACCATAAGTTGAAGGAAATTTTACTAGGTAGAAGATGCGCCAATATGAAGGATTGATAAATATGGGAAGATTATAAGGAGAAGTAGTGAACCAAAAGTAATGTGGATTGGCCACAATGTAACATTAACATCTCAACACTCAATAATAGCAAATCAAGAATGAGGATTCATAAAGCCAACCTATAGTTGTTGGGATAGGGCTAATGATGATGATAATGACGGAGAGGCAAATTTTCATAATTTATGGCATCACTTCATTAGCTCATTGCCCAAAGAGAAGATGCATAAAATACAAAGTTTTAAACAACTCGGTTTTTAAATAAATTGAGCCAAAATGGTAGAAGATCTTTTAATTTGAGCGGAAGAAAGTCCAAATCAAATATTTATTTTTACTAGATTGAGGCAACAAAAATCTCATTGGGCTTAGTCAGTTGGATCATCCATTTTGGGTATGGAAAATGGAGGTTTACATAGGGGTGTCTATTTGGGTTGGTAGATCGGGTTCAAGTCTAACCCGAAGTTGTCCTGACCTAAACTTGCAGAATCCGAATTCGATCCATTTATTGTGTAGGTTAAAATGTTTAATCCGAACTTGACTCAACTAAAACCCGCCTAATTTGAACTTGACCCATTTGGCTCATTTATTATATGTATCGTGCATTTTTTTAGATCAACCCAACTTATTTAACTCGAACATGAATGACAATTTGGTCAATTTTGAGTCAATTTTTAATTTTCGCGTCAACCTTATTCCGACCCAAAGATTAGAGATATGATTTCTGACTTGAGTAGCAATAATGTCAAATTGAACCAAAATTTTTTTGGTCAAGTAAAGATTTTTCAATTAGCAGGTTGAGATAAAAAATAGAATGGGACGACTCTAAGCTTACTAATAAAATACCTATCATTAGTGCTTTAAAAATAGCATGCCCTCAGACTAGCACAACCCAAAAGTTTCTTAGAAATCTCAACTTAAAAAGAAGTTCAAACACATTTAGCAAATGAAAAGGTTAAAAGAATCCAACTCAATCATTGAATACTTCTTGGTAGATTATTACAAAAATTGGGCTATAATTGTAAATAATTGGAGAACTAGTTTGAAAATCAGCTTAAGAAAGCAGAGCACATGCTCGATCTACAAAATTTTTTTGTTTGCATTTAGTAGGCTTCATTGTTATTCCTATTATTTTACTTGACACTTTTGATTCTAAGGCTTCATTTAATTATTCTTTTCTCATGCTCAATTTTTAGAAACTAGTTTATCATTATTTGAGAAGCATGCTTAAAAAATCAAAATGTTTTCACATTGTCTTTGTGTTTTCTTTTAAATAAGACGTGCTTGTGTTGTACCTGTGTGAGTGTAGTTAGCACTTTGAATTTTTTTTTAGAATCACCGTATTTAATAAGCTGCGACTAGCTTTTGATTAGCTGGGTTTTTTCTTAGTCTGTGGAAGGTGGAAGGTGGTAGCTGTCCTGTGATGTATCTTGTTTCATTTTTTATTTCTATTGGTTGACTATGTGGTGGCTTTTTGGAATTTGATTCTTACCGTGCTTATTTGATGGTTGCTTGCATGCTTCTGGTATATTACTCAATTGGTAGTCTTAGCATGAATTGTGATTGGTTTGCATGGATTTTGGCTTTAGAAGTTGAGGTAGTTGGCGATTTTAGGTATCTTGATTGGTTAGGCCTTGATAAAGTTCAGTGGTTGAGACTTACGCTTTTGTTATTAACCATTTCTTTAGTTTATGATTTTTTTTATTTGTTAAAAAAGAAGGAATTTGTGATTATAAATGGAGTTTAAGGCATGTAAAAATCAATTAACTAATTCTAAATAAAAATTAGTAAAAATGTTTTATTCCTTCTAATCTTGAGAGTATACTTATTTAGCTATTGGGAGATTTAATGATCTAAGTGAGAGTTTATCTCCTTGTACATACTGTAGGTTTGATTATGCTATATTAGGCAATTTCATTTCTCGTACATTCATTCATTTTGAAAGCATAATTGAGTTAATTTATGTATTTTATAGTTTTCTACTATGCTGCACTGATACAGATACGGCAACACGGATACGACACGATACGGATACGGGATACGTCAATTCTTAAAAATACAGGATGCGGGTACGGCACGGACACGACATTATAATTTATAAATCATACATAAAAATTAAGAAAGCAATCAAAACATAATATTTGAAATTACAAAAAAAAAATGACATCAACATCATTTGTAGCCTTATAGCTTATAATATCAACATATAGGTAAGCATTAAATGTCTAGTACAACAACAAAAGTATAAACATAAATTATCTAGCACATGAAGTTTCAACTATTCAATAGAAGGAATGATATAATTATCTTCTTCATTGGTTTGTCTTTGAACTTCCATATCATCTTCAATAAATATCATAGTTTCTAATTCAGGCTCATGAAGTGAAAGATTAATAATTTTTAATATTTTCATATCATCAAGAGACTCAAATCCATCTCGGAAATGAGAGAATCTTGCTCGCAACCACGGAAGTAAATACAACACGTCTTTTTATTTTTCAGATTTCTTTTTGTTTTTCAACAGCACGCGTATAGGATACACGTGTCCTTTTGAAATTAAATAGTATTTTAATTGGATACGGCTTTGGCGTATTCGACACGTATCGGTGGAGTATCGGAGGCGTATCCGTGTATCGGTGTATCGGATACAACACGCCTTCATAAATAGGTGTATCAATGCAACATAGGTTTTCTATTAGTGTATTATTTCCATTTAATTGTATTTTTTTATAGTTCCTGATTTTTATGCATTATTTTTACTATAAAGCTATTTATTATTTGCATTGTATTTTTATGTGTTTTTTGGTTTTCATCTCAAATAACAAATAATTGCCTAAATTAAGAAATTGTGATATGTTAATTTTTGTTTGTTTGCATAATTTCATGCTCATCTACTAGCTTGACATTAGGGTTATATTAGTAAATTCTAGACCCTATGACGCTCTACACTGAGCCTCCTCTCATCTCCTCCCCTCCACCCCCTACCCCCTACCCCACCCCTGTGATGATGACTTCCACGATGATACTATGATGTGTTAATTTTTTTTGCTTCTCTAATTCATTTATTGATAACTAATGTTTATGACTATTCTTGGTGCCTCTTGCAAGGCACCAAAGGATTCTTTAACTACCAAGAGCCCTTCTTTGAGGATCCTAAAAAAGAATTAATTGCTAGTCGAGAAAAAGAGTTAATGGATTTGAACAACAGCCCTTTAGTGAGTCATGATATTTCACAATAAAAAAGTACCCTCAAGGTGGGTTAGACTCTCCTATTTATGGATTAGAATATGCACAAGTTTGAATGCCACAAGCAACTCATGAAATGAACTTCAATCCTCACTTTCCATGCCATAAATGTGAGCAAAACCTTGGGATGGGCCCTCTATCTTCATGATAAACTTTTAGTGATTATTATTTACCATTGATGACAAATTGTGATGTTCCAATCAGAGATCTACCAGGCATGAGCTGTTGAATGGAATGCGGATTGGTTCTCTTAGTGTATAAAAAGTTGCAGAGTACATATCCCTCTCACAAAAAATTGTATTGAATGAGGGATTTGCATCACAAGGTAAAAAAACTATGAAATCTTAAAGCCCAAGTTTTATTGGCTCAAGCTAAAATGGATGTGGAGGAAAAATGTAGGGGAGGTTGGCAATTGTCTGAGTTCCTTTTTTTTCATCAATGTCTTCTTGCACATTCCTTATCTTATTTACGCAAAATCGCCCCTAGGCAAGGTTCAATTTAGATTATTGGAATTCAAAAGAAAGTAATTGGTTGGAATGTTGGATTTGTGTATAGTAAGGTGCAATAAACTCCGATAAATCTCCCTTAACCAATATTAAGTATAAAAAATACAAGGGGTTTAATATTAGGAGATATAGATTTGAAACAAGAATTTATGAATAGAATTTGAACTATTTCTATTAGGTTTCTCTGTTTCTCTCCACTTGTCAATTTTATGAATATAAATTCCTTCTATATCTTAAATCAGATTTAATACTTAATCTAGAGTTGCCTATTGATTTAATGATTTAAAAAAAACCAGCAAATTAGATTTATCTCATTCTGGAGTTTCTTTCTTCAAATTCTGGAGTTTCTTTCCTCAAAATGGTATTATTTGTATTGCTTAATCTACCTTTCATTTTAATTGATGTAACATCTACAGGTAGCTCAGCATCATTGAATACTCTCTCAGTTAAGGAAGCACCTGGGGAAAATTTTCAGCAGAAATACTCTAGTACAAATCTTTTCAAGAAGACAAGTTCTAGGATGAGTGCCATAAAATGTTTTGGGGTTGATTTGTCACCAGATAATATTGCTGTTGCGGTTGTATATTTTGTGCAGGGAGTACTGGGCCTTGCAAGGCTTGCAGTAAGCTTTTACTTGAAAGATGATCTCCATCTTGATCCTGCAGAAGTATGCCATCTTTTTGATTAAAATCTCTACAATTGATTTACTTTTCTCTCATATCTCTTTACCTGATTTGATTCTTTGCATTTTCCTCTTAGTCTTGCGTTTTGGATTGCTAGGTAAACTTTTTCAGAGTTGTTGTTTGATGCAAACCTTATTTGGCAATACGTAATCTTTAACTGCTTGTATAAAACCACTGAAAAATGCTGTTATAGCCTCAAATTATTTTTGCATTTATTGATATAATTTTATCAATACTTGAAGATGTAGTAAACATATTATCCAGGTTCACCCATCATAACTCTTCTTCTTTTGTTTGGTTTTCGTGCCTTGCTGCTGCTTTCACCAGCCTATCTCAATATGCTACCAATGCCCAATCTTCTTAAATACTTTGTGAAGTCACTGTGGCACCCATGCATATGCTTTCAAGTATGGGTGGCCTGTGCCCCGTTCCCACTGCACCCCCTCCCTCCTTCCCCTCCCAACCAACAACCAAACATTCTAAGTTTATATATTTATATATATATTTTGTCGGTACCCCTCTAAATAGATTATTCTTAATGTTTCCACTTAGAAGACTATTTTGCACTTGCCTACAATCCTTTCCATTGTAAGCATCATTCACAATATAGCAAATTTATATGGTGTTGATGTAGGATGATTTAAGGTCAAGGGTGTTCAATGTAGATTCAGATGCAATCGAAGTAATATAGTGTGGGCTACGAAAATTCAGCCCCAGCCTCCCCATTGCTTTTTCGGGGGAGTTTTAACGGATTAAGTTTCGGGGTAAATTTTGTGAAGGCAGATGGGTTTGTAGATAAGACACTACCTATGATGCATAGACACGGACACAGCGACACGGACATGGACACGACACGACACGGACACGGGACATGGCTTTTTTTGAAAATATAGGACACGGGTACGGAGCGGACACGACTATACATTTTTTTATATAGTGTATATATATTAATGTAATATCATATTAAAAATGACAAACAATAATAAATGAATGACATGATAACTTGTCTAGCTTATAATATAAAATATTTAGTACAAAATATCTAGTACAACCACAAAAAATATAAGTAAATAATCACTTACTACAACATCAAGCATTCAAGCTTCAACTACTAGGATTAGCTTTAGAGGTTTGTTTTTGGCCTTCAATATCATCATCATTGAATGTCACTACTTTCAACTCTAATTCAACAAGAGAAAGATTTGTAATTGTGCAAAAAGAGAGGAGATGAAAAAACCTTCATTGCCAAAGAGAAATGAAAATGAGAGTATTCGATGAATGGGTATTAAATGCAGACGTTGATATGGTGTTGTGGATATGGAATAAGAAATTTAGTTAAATCTCGCCAAATATAAGAAATTATATTTTAAAATAATTATAAAATATTTAAGATACGCGTGTCCAATTTGTTTTTAATATATTTTTAATCGGACACGTTTTCGGCGTGTCCGACACGTGTCGGAGGAGTGTCAGACGAGTGTCGTGTCGGACATTGCACGCCTCTTTGAGGAGAAGTGTCGATGCATCATAGGACACTACCCAGAGATTTCACCCTCATTTTGCGAGGACTTTATGATCTAAGTTATGGTTTCCTATAGGCGCTAGCCCCTACAGTTAATTACCCCTCTCAGTAACGAGAGAGAAATTTCGTTTAAGGCTAGTCGTCAATCAGATACGTAGAGATACGCGGTATCTGACATAAAGTAGCAGTCTGGGTTTAGAAATGTTGAAAATTGGATATTTAAAATTAGAAATTTCACCACCTTGCACTTAAAGCAGATGGTGGGGGAATGGATGATGGACCCAATCAAGATCTCATGGCTCCGTCATCCCGGGCCATCGTGATCCTTAGTCTACTTAGTCAGATGAGATAGTCAATCCAACTTGACAGAAGGATCATTATCGACAGCCATAGGTTGCTTCGTCAAACGGTACTTTGTAGACCTGGGGTGAATGTTTGTCTAAGGGGTCAAATTTGAATCAACCTTAGCTAACAGAGGGCTTTGTGCCCTATTGATTATATCCTATTGATTCATATCTCAAGGATTTGATTCCATTGGGGAGCATACGGGCTCTGGCCATGACCGTAATGTAGTAGTGGTGCCGCCAACCCGGTTCAAAGGGCCCCGGTCATAACCATTTATCCTACGGTGTCATTTCGAGACAAAATCACCAATTAGAGAACACGTGGCACGTCCTTACTGGCAGGAGATTATTTGTGAATGAATTCTAGTGATATTCTCGACTAGAAGTTAACTCTTTGTGAGCTGAAGTGATTTTTGAATTTGTCCACCTCGGCAAACTATTGCGAATGGTGGATGGATTTTGTTTTAAGCATTTTGATGGTTGATTTCAATTTTAAATATTTGAATTTTGATTTTTTTTTTTTTTGAATTTTTGGATTTTTGTGGGTATTTGGGTGGAACTTGGAAGGCATTTGAAGACTTGGAATTAACCCCTCCGGTTGAAATTTTCTTTTCAACACGGTCATCATCAGGATGTTTGGGATCATTGCTCATTGCTTGCATTTCAACTAGCACTGATTCCTTTGATATCTATTAGATGGCTTACATCATTGTTTGTAAGTGATTTCAGTGTGTTTGTTATATCAGTCTTCTCTACTTGTGGATAGAGTGTCGCATTTGTATGTCGATTTGGACCGCCGGATAGGCTGCATTTAACTACTAATCTCTCTGTGCATGTTGGCTAGTGAATTGTTACATTTACTTGTGTATTGATCTTTAGTGTTTGTTGGTATTTGCATATGCCTTGCAGGTTTATTACACTCATGAATCATTTGTTATCGTTCAGTCCCTTGCATGTAAATCATTCATCATATGGTCTTCATACTTCATTCATGAATACATCTCCATGTTCATTACAACCATCATGCTCCCTTCCACAAGCATGAGTGTTGTTATGTTTTCCACCATCACAGTCCCTTCCACAAGCTTAGACTATTGTTATATTTTCCACCATCTTCTTATCACTTGCAAACAAGTTGAACATGCAAGTTCTTTGTCTTCAAAAGCGGTTTAATGAGTATGGGAGACTTCATGTTATTGGTTGTAGGCATGCTGCCATATCACTCACTTAAATCTTACACGTAGCTCAATTTGGTTGAACAGTTTGAACCATCTTAGTTTTATCATTCCTCGCTCATGTAATAATTTTTGTTTGGATGGTTGGAATCTTAGTTTTATAAAGTATCATGGAGCTTATATATTAGCCTTAATTAAAAGTTCTCTCTCATGATTGAGTGAGTAACTAATCAGAGGAGATTGCACCTATGAAAACCTCGCACCAAATCATAATGTTCTTGTAAGAGGACAATGTATATGGGTGTTATCTTATCTAATATCAAATTTGTCTTCTAAAAATCCAAAGTGGAATCACTCAAATGTGAACAGGGCCAAGTTGGGATTATTAGAGCCTGCACAATGTAATGGTAGTAGGGCATGACAATTTACACCATTATATTGCCTTAAGCTCCATGATAAATATGCACTCAAATCAACACTAATCTTAAGGCTTAAAGTGGATGTCATCATCTAAGACTAATAATCTCTAATACTATTCTCAAAATCCAAAGCTTTTATCCAGTCATCCATGAACCTGAGGGTGTTATGGTGTTGTATCAATCTTGACATGAAGTGTCTTGGTCCATAGCCCTTTGATCAGATCAAGGACCAAAACATCCACAATAGAAGGACGTTTTCATCCAACACAAATGTCAAAGATAAAGTGTCTCTTATATACTATGTATCTCGTAAAAAATAATAAATTACCCACTATTCAAACAACTATATAGCCCCAGGAGAAGCTAAAGATATCATGAAAACATTTCATTATCTTGATAAGGCCTGCTTGAATCATTTCCATCCTTTCCTTTGCCTTTGAACACACTTACTAACTTAAGGTTTGGTGTGTCTTCCAAGTAAACATCTATTGGGGCAGCCTCACTTATTTACGTGGTTGTGTGTGCATGCAAGAAGCAACACTGTGAATGCTTTATTCTGAAGGCTTGATCAGCTTTAATCTATTCCATGCGTACAACAAAATTATTAATCATGGGTGCTTTAGTTTTGACTTATGTTAAGAAAGGTAGGGGTAGACCTAAAAAGACTTGGTTAGAAAATATTAGGAATGACCTTTCTTTATTAGATTTAAACGATAATTTGATTTTTAATAGGACACAATGGAGAAAAAGGATTTATGTAGCTGACCCCACGTAGTGGGATAAAGGCTTGATGTTGTCGTTGTTGTTGTGGTGCTTTAGTTTTAATAGTAGGATTAGTGTAATATTTTTTGAACTCTAAGACTGTTTCAAGTCTAAACTATTTTCTTTGTAGAATTTATCTTATTCATTGTTAATTTCTTGCATAAGCTTTGAATGAAAAAAAAGAAAAGATAAATTAACCTCTAGGAAAATGATAATTATTGGAAGTCCAAAAAAAGGAAGTATTCAAACTTTTAGTAGGAGATACACATTTCTAGAATTCAGGTCTTACACTTAGATCAATGAGTAGAATTTCGAAAAGAGAAGAATTTGTGTTTCTGAAGCAAAAAATTTCCAACAAAGTCTGCTCACTTAAAATCTAATTAGTACTCCCAGGAAACCACCACCTAAAGTAAAAAAACCACAGGAACCTCTGAATCATTACAATTTACAACTGCAAGGTACTGATACTTGGTGCAGTCCCGAAGAAGCCACAAGCTATGATGCACAGACACAGACATGGCAACACGGATACGACACAACACGGACACGTGACATGTAAATTATTGAAAATATAGGACACAAACACGGGTTGGACACGACATTATAGTTTTTATATTTTAAAAATATTGTATAAAAATTAAATAAGTATAATTTTAAAAATAATTTAGAATAAGTCATTTAATTAGAATTTATGTTTAAAATGATTGATATTATGATGTCGAGAGTCAGGCCTCCATGTCGTTTATCGGTCATCAAGAGAGGGGATGAAAATACCTTTATTGCCAAAGAGAAATGAAAATAAGAATATTCGATGAATGGGGTATTAGTGCGGGCGATTGATTTGATGTTATGGATAGGAAATAAGAAATTTAGTTTTTATATTTTAAATAATTAAACATTTTAAATACGAGAAATTATATTTAAAAAAATTCATAAAATATTTAAGATACGCATGTCGGACACACGTGTCCAATTTCTATATAATAATTTTTAGTCGGATACATTTTCGACGTGTCTGAGACGTGTCGGAGGAGTGTCTAACGTGTATCGTGTCGGGCACTGCACGCCTCTTTCAGGATAAGTGTAGGTGCATCATAGGCCACAAGAGACATGGAATTGATATAGTCCTTCCTGCTAACCATAATTACAAGAACCAGATGAGCCTCAAGTGTTAGGAATGGAAGGCGAAGATGTCAGCATAAACTGGGAGCTGTCAGTATAGGAACCATAGAAGGAGCTGTATTAGGTTTATAAAGCAATTTTGCCTTTTTGTTGCTACTCTTCTATTTGGCAGCTCCAACTTCATTTTCTACTGGTTATCATCTCTTCTTTAAATTATTCATAGTCCTTCATTGATATGACCTAGTGCTCCATTCATTTTGTACTTTGATGCAAGATATCTAAAAACATCACTTCGATATCTCACTTACTCTTTAATTCGGAAGGAAGGTTACTATCCTGTCGAACTTTATGTTCCCTATTTTCTTTAACTGTTAACAACTAAGCACTCTATCCTCCAGTCCAGGTCTTCTCGATTGGGCTGAAGCAAATTTAACCCATTTTTCAGCAGATAGCAACTGCTTGCTTCTTCTATCGTTTACTGTTACTTATTAGTTTTTGATTGATCATCTGTTTTGTTTATTCAGACAGCAGTTATATCTGGTTTTGCTTCATTGCCTTGGTTGGTCAAGCCTCTTTATGGATTTATCAGGTTTAGCTTTCTCTTCTAGGCGGGCATTTCTGTGCTTGGATCAAATATTGGCATGCTACTGTCTAACATGTTCATTATGACAGCGACTCCTTCCCACTTTTTGGCTATCGGAGAAGGTCATATCTTATTCTATCTGGGCTTCTTGGAGCATTTTCGTGGAGCTTGATGGCCACCTTTGTTGACAGCAAGTATGGTGCTGCGGCATGCATTCTTCTTGGATCTCTTTCCGTTGCTTTTTCAGATGTTGTAAGTATCTTTCAGAGCGTTAAAGTAGAGCAGGAATTATCATGATTATTCATCCAAATTGCTTTTCCTTCATTCCTGTTTTGATTTATGAGAATTAAATTGTAGGTTGTCTATTGTTTTCTGTGATAAATGATACTTGTCCACTTAGCCTTCTCGATCTTGGTAAACCCTGTTATCAAAATGGTCTGTTAGATCTTTTTTTATTTTTTTTTGCTAAAAGGTGATACCTAACTTTTTTCCTTTGGGTAGTCTTGATCGGAATGAGTTTCTTTTTTAGCTGAATTTTCGTTTGATCTCCCGGGTATGAAGGATATTCTAAAATTTTCTTAAGATTTTCCTTTTTTTGGATCATCAAGCATACAAACATGCATTTATGACTTGCTGCCTTCATTTTATCAAATCTTAAGGTTCAATCAAATAGCTATAAGTGTCCTTGTTTGGATAAGATTGCATTTTTAGTTATTTTGCTTCATTTATGAAGATTACATGCACAATGCAGGTTGTAGACTCTATGGTTGTTGAAAGAGCTCGTGGTGAGTCACAGAGCACATCTGGGATTGTGTTTGGAAGGAAAAGCCTTGGCATGGTACCAACCACTGATAGGAAATACTCGAGTTCGCAAGTAACCCTAAGGTAATACTTGAGTTCGCAAGCAAACCTAGTCAAAATGGAAGAGCAAAACAACAGAAATTCTGCTGTCTACAGCAGAAAACAGAGGAATTTGAGTGGAAATCTGAAATAAAACCAAGCAAAACACTTGTATTTCAAGAAGAATAAAAAGCAGCAAGAAACACTTGATCCTCAATTCGAGAGGAGGATCGATCTCTCCCAAATCTCTAGACGCCGCTAGAGCCCAAAGAAAACCTAAATCTAAGAGATCTCAAATTTCAGCCAAATTCAAGATACTCAAACCCTAGGAAAATCAACTATTTAATGCATCCAAATCAAAAGGAAATCCC